CACTCTGCCGATTTCGTCTCTGCTGCGCTGCTCTGTGTATACAAGCACGATTACCGACCACTTAACGCGACGGAGTTAAAACGCACGCTGCAAAAGAAGACGATTAAGGTAAGATCGCCGTTGCGCCATGCGATCTTCGAGAAGCTTTTGTCCGTCGATGGATCGGCGGGTTTTAAAAACAGGGAATCCCCTCGTACACGAGATTCCACCGGCAGACATTTCGTTCCGTTCGAGTGTCATTAACGGGAAGTAGCTTAGCCGCTCGTTCCCGCGGCTAGAATGGATTTTGCAGCTCGAGCTTGTCTACTTTTACGCGTATCAGCTGCGACTGACACGGACGAGAGAGGGTCGATCGCGCGATGGATCCGTGCGGACGAGCGTGTACACGGAGCGAGAACGACGGAGGAAATGGTCATGGGGCAGCGACAAAAGGCGGGGGCGGGAAGCAAAAGGGGGTGGAAAACAGTGCAACAGGGGAAGAAGGCCGGTCGTAACGACGAATAGAATAGGGGTATAAAACGTCGCGAGGAAGGCGCGTTTGGTCTCCCGCAATTTCCTCGGGATCGACGAACCCAGCCAGCCGGCTTATTAACTTTTATGAGGGAACACCGGACGGACGAGTGGGAAAAGGAGCGGCGAAACGGGACGGAGGGTAGCGGCGTGACGAAAAAGAAGCCACCGTGCGCCATTTGCAGCTCGCGAAAATATTCCGGCCGCCCCCTATTCCACGGGAATACACCGGGGAGCTTTTAATTCTCCTACGTTACCGCAATCTAGACTACAGCTGCTTTCTACAGGATTTGCCAGGAGAAAGAAAAGAAGGAAAGAGGAAAAAGAGAAGGAAAAATGACACGTTCGCATGAGTACGCGTTTCGATGATGTTCCAACTTCCGGTTACAGCGTCTGCTTTAACGATTTCGCGTTTGTATCCTCCGGTAACCGTTCCAGTTTCTCGAGTGGAAGGCGCGAGGTGTTTGAAAGGTGGCACGAAAAGCGAGGTACGAATACATCGGGGAGAAAAAAGCGAAGGAAAATGTGCAGGCATGGATGAAAAGCGGAAGCAAAGTGGACGAAAAAGTTGGCGGAACGGTAGAGGGAAAATCTTGACGCCATGGAGCTTTGCGTAACGCGGAACTGTGAGCCGTAATATCGAGTCGATTCTTTGCCTATGCTCGGTTCCTACGTTATCGCGAATTGGATACGCATCGACGCGACATTTTTCGCTCGAAACGACCCATAGAAACGTACCCGACGACGCGTTAGCTTTTTCCCTTCAGGTACTCTCGCGCCGCTGTTTCGCCTGCATATTTTTTTCCCCATTTCTTCCCCGTCCGCGGAATCGGGTGGTGCAGGAGGAAAACGCGGACGCGAACGGGCGGAAGCTATTCTCGTTAAATTCACGCGCGCGCCTCGATTCCGAACGAGAGATCTCCAATTATGTTAGGTATTCAGGCGAACGATTTCGTTAGTGTTTGATAAACAGTAGTTAGCAACGAGTCCCGATAAAATCTGCCGAATCGTGTCGACGCGATCGTGCTTTTAAATTAAAAGTCAATATAAGCACGCCGGTTCGCTCGTTCGTTCGCATCGCGGATATCCGATCAATTCGTACGCGCATTATGAACGCGGACCGCGGAAATTTGCGCGTCGGATTAACGCAATACCCTGCTTTTTTTCTTCCTCTTCTCGTTTCCGCCTCTGCCGCAGCCCTCCCTTCGCCCTTTTCCCCCTTTTACCCCTTTTTCCTCTTTGCTCTCACCCTTCGGTTTCCCGTTCTCCTCTTTCCTCTCGTGTATATACGCGCGATTGTTTCGCAGCGACGAAACGCTGGTAGATTAGCACGTTTCGTGGGCCGACCTTTCGGCGGCGTTCTTGTGCCGGTAATTTGTAGGCAATCTTGCCCAGCTGGCTGCAGAGCGGTTGCCTGCGGCGGGTTCATGAATTAAACAACGCAAACCGACCGACACTCGGACCCTGTTTGTACCTCGGTTTGCACGTGGCGCGCGGCTAAAAAGTGCCGGACCTTTGCACCAACCGTTTCCTTTCTTTCAGTCTACGTCGATGTTCCCTCGTCCTGGGAACCTGTCCACGAAGGAAGCTAGAACGAGGTCCGGGAGAAGAGAAAAGAGACGGAGAGGGAGAGAGAGAGAGAGAAACGTGTATAAAGAATGGAAGGAAGGCAGGACCAAGTTCAGCCAATTACCTTAGATCCTGCCGGCAGCGTTGTTGGTCCATTCGAGAGGCTACAATTTTCTCCATTGTTGTACCGCTGGCAACCGAAGACCGTCGGCCATCGAGTTGCCAGAAAATTTGTGCGTCGTGGGAACAAACCGGATCGAGAGGTTTATCGTGTTTTGGCCGTGCTACAGGGCAGACAGCGGTAGGCATCAATTTCCAGCCACGCTCCACGACGGATATTCGCGGCCCCGTATCGTTTATTTTGATTTGCTGGATTCGTTATCGGCTGCCCCGGTTGCGCCGAGGGTGCTCGGGATTAAGAGATTTCGACGTGGAATTTATGGCACGGGCTTCTTCGCTGCTGGGACTTCATAAATACAGCGCCAGGTAGTTGGGAGCACGACCCTGTTCCGCAGACGGCACATTCGTTTCGTTGTCGTTAGTTCGACTTCTATTCTTCTCGCAGTCGCGTTTATACGGCCACTCGGACGGAGTAAAGGGCGTAAAACATTTTGCCTGGCGCTTTACGCCTGTGTTTTATGGCGGGTTATCGATTGCAGAGGCGGGTCCAATAGAACCGCTC